CTGTGTTTATTACATAAACTTGAGCCTCGCAAGTTGGGTGGTCTGTTGCTTTGCGTCGTCGAGTTGTAGTAAGGCCGGTCTGTCCAATAGTCTTACTAGTTTCGTCATCATCCAGTAACTTTCGGCATTCTTTGTTGCCGTGATGCCTAGCTCATGCTCTTCTTCGTTGCGCTTTCCTTCCCCTCTTGGACCTTTCCGAACCTGAGCCTTCCAAGTTGGAAGGTTGTTGGTTTGTGCCTTGGAGAAGTGTTGGAGCTAGGTGTCAGGTCACCGAATGTCTCAGTACTCCTTTTTAGTTTTGTGCCATTTTGTTGCACTTGCTGGCTGTATAAGATCTGGTTACGTTGGTGGCCAGTTTGTCATAACTCGTAACATTTTTGTCCTTTTCCTTTCTTCTTCATAAAGTATAATAATATAATAAGAACTGATGAGGGGTGAATTCCCCCGAAACACTGTGTATTGAGCAGGGAGTGGTGCTACGTGTAGTATCCCTGCCTGGCAAATACGGAAGTAATACGGAACTAATACGGAACTTTACCTGATGTATATTTTAGTGTATCTCCGTATGTAAGCGTACGACATCTATAGCATAAAGGCTGCTGCGCATTTCTGTTTTGATGAGATTTTATAGCAACGACAAAGCTAACTCGAAGAAGAAGTAGTCAACCTCTAGGTGTGCACCGGAGAGAAAGTTATTTATTTGCCGCTTCTTCTTTTACTAATAATTATCGCCTTCTTAGTATTTGACCCCACTAATTTCCCTGATACCTAAGCGGTCAAATATATCGCGTATTTGACTGCTTAGTCAAATACGCGATATATTTGACTACTTATATTTGACTCCTTAGAACTTCTTGGACTTAGAAATTTTCTCTCCAACTTAGAAAAAGAAATTTTTGAAGAAAGCAGAAATACACAAGATGGGATTTGAACCCACAACCTTGTGAATCTCAGTCACTCTTCCTTACCACCCAGCCACTGTGCTACCGATGCTGAACCTAGTTTAAACAATGATGTTGACTTTCAGTGCAGTACAATGCGGTATAGGCTATAGTATAATACTAGAATTACAAGGATATGTCGTATATGAAGAGAAACTATTGCGTGGAGAACACGATAAATAGATTATAGACCTCATAGTTGGTCTATACAGGATATATAGACCTCGTAAAAGACCTCGGGGGACCTCGGTCTTTTACTCGGTCTATATATCCTGTATAGACCTCCTAACCGGTCTATAATCTATACTTATATCCCAGGTGTGTACCTGAGCGAAGAAGAATAAACTTTTGTTGATTGCACCGCGCCTACCACTCCGCTACCTGTTACACTAAGTTCGTAAAATTAATGTATAATCCAAGTAAACCTATGCTTGCACGCTGACATAGTATGGCCGTGGTCTGTGAAGATCTGCTGCCGGCTTTCTCTGGCACATGATGTATACTAGTGGACTAAAATCAGTGTCCTTGAAGATTGAAGATTTTGATCTCATTCTGCATGTAATCCTGAGTACTGTGGGCATCTTCTCCCAACAACTTTCCATTTGCAAAAAAAATGTACTTTGCTTGTCTTATCATGGCAAGGTTGGCAACATGTATACGGCATAATGCTTCATATAGTGGTTCTTGCTCCCCAAGACAGTTGTTAACTTTTTTTAGATGTAAATTCGTTGCACTGAGTGGAAAAATGGTCACTTTTCGCTAATCCCTCTCCTGTACCATAAGTCTGTACTTCCTACACGGAATGGTGTGGACGGAAACACGTTCGCCTAGGTGATGAAATGCAAACAGCAGACCCACTCCACTGCCGTTAGAATTTTTTGTGCTCCGAGGATTACCCTAGAGGTGCTTCTTTCTCCAAAACTGCCCCTCCCCATGCTTATAACCAATAGAAGCGACCAACGGAACCAATGGCGACAAACGAAGACATGGACCTGGCTTTGGTTGGCTATGAGGAGCTCATCAAGATGGACGAATAAATGTCTGGCCAAAGCTTCGAGCCTCTCCCGGCCTCATTTGGTGAGCGAGCTGATGAAGCATGGAATGAGCGTGCTGGCCCAGAGTTCGTTACCCACACCGAAGCTCCAACTTGCAACCGTGAGGCTTACCCCCTCAAATAGCAGTATATTGCAGGAAATGGTCTCCTTGAGACAGTCTAGAGCTGTTTTCTCATCTGACGGCTCAAAATATCTTACGATGCCATTACTACTTACTAGTACAAGTTCCAATGCACACTGGTTGATCATCAAGGTACGTGAATAGAAAAGAAAACTCCAAGGAATCCAATGCATCAAGCGCAATCACAGCACGATGCTGCGTTCCCGAAATGCGAAGCCTGCAAGACACGTCACGGCACTTTGCATTTCTGCACACGAGTCAAATGCTCCAGACCTGGGGTTTCCCCCTTTCCAAGCGATCTACGATCTCGGCAACAGGCTCAAACGTCTTGGAATTCCTCACTGCATTTTCACACAAACATTGTGCGTCCTGGGATAATGGAGATTGAAATGGCGAGCGATTTTCGTGTGATGGCACAAGTCTAGCGCTGAAGCGATGTCTGCAGCTTGTTGCGCTGGAGCTGTGCTTTTGCTATTGGATTTGGGCCCAACGCCGGGGTTGCTCGTCGCCAGAGCTTTCCTGAAAGCCCAAGTTTGTGGAAATCGGTCAAAGGAAACATAAAATATTGTCCAAAGTAGGTGAAACAACTGTTGTTGGTATTGCACCAAAAATTGAGGTGCTATTTGTAATGGTCTCCTGTTGTCGAGGCTGTTACTTTGCTTTCCCTGGTCCAAATCAACTCCAGTTTTCTGCATAAGATTCCTGGCACTCCTGGCAATCAGATAGTACCACAAAAATTGTAGCAATGCTCAAATATGAGGTATCGGCTCATGTACTTGGTCCGTTTCATCGCAATTGTCGCTTATCTATCGCAACTAAGAACAATAGTTATTTTATCGCTCTGTAAAATTTCCAATACGCATAGTGAAGAAGCATGATACAGGATGCCTGTCCGCCACAATAAAAAAAATCAGCGATGGAATCTGATGAAGCAAGTTGAGAAAGGAAGTAAGGTTACAAAAAATGTACAAAAGAAAACAGTGACGGAGCGCGTTCTTGCACTCACGCTTTAGTTTAACCGACTCTGGCTCTGTATCACTCGAGCCTATGCCACTTGAGCTGACATTTGCTGGTGTGTATAGCTGCTGGCGTAGCGTATCTCTTGCTTTCTCCACTTGGTGTATGGCAGCGATGGGAAAGGAACAGTCGTAGCTGTCACTTTGGCACTTGGAGGAATGTGGGCAGCGTGACCCGTGTGTCACCATCGTGTGTTTCAACAATGTTTTTGAATCAGGCACACATCCCTCTCCAGACAGCTGTCATACGCTCTGCTGGATACGTTGACCACGACTCTTTGTACTGCCGCTGCCAGGTCGGACAATGTCTTCTTTGCCACCATCTCGCCATCAGTTTGCAGGCGTGCAAAGAATGCCAGGTAGTTGAACTTTCAGTTCGAACGTGCCGATTGAGCTGGCTGGCCTGGCCGTGACTGTCACGCTCTCAAGGTCAGAATGTCGATTTCCCCTGCTACAGTTCCGGTCTTTGAGCTGCGTTTGGCTTTTTGCTGCAGTGATTGTGTGCATTCACTGCAGTGCATTCACTCCAGCAAAAAAGTTCCCCACTTTTCCATCACAATCGTACGAATCACGATGCCCCTGGCGCTAGTCGCGATGGTTTTTTCTTTCTGGTCTCGGTTGATATATTGGCAATGTTGCCTTCTTACCTTTCCTGTAACTGTTTGTAAATGCTCAAGTGCAACGTGCCACCCATTATAAATGGAATCTGTGCCAATACATTTTGTGTGTGCCTTCTTGCCACAAGGTTGGATTCATATAGTGCTTGTCCATTTCTCCAAATTATTTTTAGTGTATAATGTTATTCAAGACCGCTTGTTGGTGCATGGGGAAATGTTGTCGCACACAATGGTGGTGCTCTTCTCCCAATTTCAGGACGGAACCTCGATGCTACTGGTCCTTGAAGATGGCCTTTGCAATGGGTGCCATAGGACAGGCTGAATTGCTGGTCAATATCTAAAGAACATGGGGTTTCTGGACCAAGTTATCATAGTGGGTGAATGAGATCCGCTATGGGTTCAAAGGAGTAATCATTTTCAGCGAAATCGGAAATTTTGACCATATCCGGTGATATTTGGTCGTTACAGACATTGACTCTTAAACGTTTTCTTTCCTGCAATTCCTGTAACCGTATGTAAATTTGCAGCTTTCATGTGTAAAGTGCCCAGCATTGTTAATGGATCCAGTACGAAAACATTTACAGAGTACAGAGAAGTTCTTAACTACTCCTGCAATGATGGTCTTGTAAAATCTGCAATCCCGATTTGTGAGGCGAATCGAAATCTAAGTGCGACTCCTACTTGTGAGAGTAAGTGGAAACAACCTTATTGTGCTTACATTCCTACATATTAATTATTCTTATTCCCATAGCTATGCAAAAGATGTTACTTCAGTTACTTTCGTAACGTCTGGCGCTAGCCAGGGTCCACACATCTTCAATTCCCGTAGGTATGCAAAAGACGGTACGTTTGTTTGTTGTTTGTTTAGCTTTATTTGACTTCACCAGAAGCACATGCAAAATCTGCCTTCTCACTGGGCGTATTGCCACAGTTCTCGCAAAATGATGAAGGTGGTGATATAAGAAAAGGAGGAAGAGGAAAATACAATCATGAACAAGGCACAAAGAGAAGACGGAAACAAATCAATGAGGGAGTACTACAAGTAACGAATTGGAATTAATTTTGATGAATTTTTTATGAAAATAATGCAACGGATGCAAAGGTTCCAGGGTTGAGGGAATGTTGACAGTTATGCGTCTTTGAGGTCTTAGGAGAGGGGAAGAGAGTTAAAGATATCGTTTGTAATTGATTTCTGAAATGCAGACGGAATTGTGATGGAGCGGACATCAGGCAACAGGCAGTTCCAGTACACACTACCAATGAACTGAACAGTGGATCGACCGTAAGGACCCGGCAAAAACGGGACACGAAGCAGACGTGAAGCCTAACCACGCGTGGCACGACCGTTAACTGAATCAAAGAAAGTGCTGAAGGACTACTGATCCTTTCAGCACCAAAACATCTGTGAAAAAAATTTTTTTGCTGATATATCTGAGGAAGAGTAAGAGTAAGACGTCAGTAACATCTGGCCGCAGCCAGGGTCCACACAGCTTTAATTCCGTGTTTGTGTGTTTGTGCCGTCGGCATGCCTTGCACTATCCCGTAGCTGCCCCGTACCGTACCATCCAACATAGCTGGCCACAATATGTGAACAGGGCTTTCAAATCCAAGATCATAACATGAAGGAAGAATGAGTATGTATGCGAAGTGTATCGGGGAATGCATGTGGGGCCATGTTGTTGTTTAGCTTTATTTAGAGTTGCGTTCCAAAACAGGCCTCAACCTAATGACAATGGTCCCACTGATAATAAGAGAAAACCCCTGATCCTTCCTGACTTCCTGTATGCTAGCAACTGTTTCTCTGCTGGCCTCACCTCACATCAGCTTGAGCGCCTAGAGCGGCTACTCAAGCGCGCAGTCCGCTGTGTTTACAACGCTCCATTTGCATCCCCATCTGCGCCGCTGTATTGCCAATTGCGATTGCACTCGCTAGAAGTTATGTACTGCCACAAGCTTCTTGGCTACACTTGGCGCTGCCTTCAGGGTAAATGCAGCACATTGCTTACCGATATGTTCAGACCTCTTAATGCCGGCCGTGCTACACGTAGTCAGGGAAATCGAGCACTTAAATTTCCAGTCACTAAGACATCCGCTGGCACACATTCTGCCTCATTCCAATGTGTATCACTGTGGAACAGGCTCCAGCCCGACATCAGGAAAATCCCACAGTACCACCGATTCATGCGATCCCTCCCAGCACATGCTGCTTTTCAGTAATGCCACTGCCTGCTGTATTATTATTTCCTTTACTGGCCTAACTGGCTTTTACAATGACGTAATACTTTACTACCCACTCTACTCAGTGTCATTACCTTCATTGGCCTTTTATAATTTATTCTCCTTTTTAGTCGATATCATGTAATTAGGCAAATTTGCCTGTTTGTTCTTCGACTCTAAATAAACAAACAAACAAAAAAACAAACAAAAGAAAAGAAATCGATAGTGCGGGTTCGAATCCTAGGTTATGTCTAGTGCTGAAACGAGTACTCTATAAGCTATCGAGCGAGTACTGTCATTATCGAGTCGAGTATCGAGTACTCTATAAGCAATCATGCGCATATATGTCAGTACCACATACCCATTTTTTGCACACCATTTAAGCAATTCAATATCCTTCAATAAACACAAATTTTCATTGCAAAGCCACATGGACGACGGATGTGTACGTCGCTATCAAGTCTTTTATTTATTTATTTATCGAGTCCTTTTTTGATATCGAGTCGAGTACTCAACGAGCGGGTACTCGAGTACTCGGCGTACTCGTTTCAGCAATAGTTATGTCTGAAAAAAAATTTAAAACAGCCCTAGGCCTTTTTTTCGCTAGGTTATGAAGGTGGTAGATGGTGTCATATTAGTAGTAGTAGTAGTAGCAGTAGTAGTAGTAGTAGCAGCAGCAGCAGCAGCAGCAGCAGCAGCAGCAGCAGCAGCAGCAGCAGCAGCAGCAGCAGCAGCAGCAGCAGCAGCAGCAGCAGAAGCAGCAGCAGCAGCGGTAGTAGTAGTTGAATCGTTTGTAGGCAACTTGCCTACACTCAAGAGAGCACTGCATTTCACACAAATCCATTGGTATCGTTACAACGTTTCGGTCTTTATGACCATCATCAGGAATGAAGTGGACATGAAAAGAACAGCAGTATAAAAGAATGAGGCAAGCAAGCAAAGCGCGGTACATAGTGACAGCGCGCGTAGAGAAGTGCAAAGAACGTCATGGCGGAAGTGCATTACTACATGTACATGACAACACAAGCACAAACGGCGAGGAAAGTAGATACTGAGCTACAGCAGTGATACAAGCCCAGTTCAAGTCTCACACCACCAGTGAAGTGTGTAGAGCCCCGCACCACTCGCAGGAAATAACAGCTGTATTCAATGCCGGCACAGCGCACAGGTCAGTACAACAACATCCCATGCATGATGCTAAAGCCAAGTAGTAAAGGTAGCTGAGCAAGAAAGATGATGGTAGACCATGGTAGAATGTGGAAGAGCATACTCCATAAAAGGTGGTAGCCAAGGTACGTGAAGGCATGCATTGCCCACACACATGCGCCGAGGGTATCTCCCAGAACGCATGCATGCTAGAAGCCAATAAGGCCGCACAGGTGGTGTTATAGCAGGTCCCAGCCACTGTTGTTGTTGATTTCCGGGATCGCTCCCTGATGTTGATGGCCTCTCGGATCCTCCTCCTGGGGCGTCCACGCTCAGAACCAAGAACCCGGATACCCGAGAAGGCCGTTGCTCCCAATGGCAATGGTTCAGATGCATGCTTGGCTGCGAAATGCTCACCCAGCAGACCGAAACGTTGTAACGATACCAATGGATTTGTGTGAAATGCAGTGCTCTCTTGAGTGTAGGCATGTTGCCTGCAAACAATTCAAGTATAATGAAGCTGCGTGAAGCGTCCTTCAAAATTTTGAAGTAGTAGTATTTATTATTTTACTTGGGTATACCCAACAGGCCTATGGCCTTCTTACAGGGTGCCCAAGGAGAAATTGTGAGCAGCTAGCGCGAAAAGCAGGCAAGGTACGCTGGGATCGAATGATAGCGGGTAGTGCACTAAAGCGGTCAGCACCAAGTAATGAGAGACTGTAGAGGCAGGACGGGACATGAATGGGGGGGGGGGGGGGGGGAAGAGACTACTGGATGTTTGGCCTCTGGTGGGTAGCATCATTTCGGGTCGTAAAGATTTGGGAGATGAGGGGACTGCCAAACGACCTGATGCACCGAAAAGTAAAAATGAAAAGCTTAAGAGTGAGGCGTAGGCTGAGTGGGTGGAGGTTGTGACAACGCAAAATGGGCTCAACATCAGCACGGGAGGGGTAGGCAAATACAACACGAACAGCTCTGCGGCTCAGTTCTAGAAGCTTATCGTATTTTGCAGCGTGTAATGAATGAACATATGATGTGCTGCGTACTTTAATTTGCTCTGTATAACTCCGAGATAGAAAGCTCGGCGGGCCTTACTGTCCAGGTTGTCTCTTCCTCGCCTAAAAGCACCTAGCTTCTTATTAATGTCATCACGGAGGTGGGAGAAATCGCCCACAAAGCTCTCTACAGGCACATCCTCCCCCACCCCCGGAACCGTCAGGCTACCACGTCACTTGGCCAACTCTCTCCTCCTGCCGGAAGCTCAAGCAGCTACTCTTTGCACACACCATCGTTGTCAAACGATCCCCGCCACCCATCCAGTTTGCGACCTCAGGCTACATCACCGAGCCACTGTAGTATCCCTGTAGTATCACGTTAGGGTACAGGGTCTGTTGAATAAAAGCTGCTGCGCATTTATATTTTTATGAGATTTTATAAAAACAACAAAGCCGAACAGAAGAGCTGTTCAACCTCCAGGTGTGTACCGGAGAAATTTCTTTTTATTGCTGCTTCTTATATTTACATAATAATAATACAGGTATGTACCTGAAGTTCGATTAAAATTTAATTCGTGCACCGTGCCTCCACTCGTCTACCACTACACCACCAAGCCGAGAATTGAGGCGTCATCGAGTCTTTGCCCTCCCCACCACCCACTCCACCCTCCTTCAACGTTAACCCTTGTACTCGGCATGCACTCAGTACAACCACCTGCCATCACACTGTTACTCCCTCCGAGAAATAAATGCATTCAAAAGAGAAGTTACCCCGATCATAGTATCATCAAGTTGCACATGCTCCAACCCCCTATGTAGCCCAGCCCAGGTAACGTATTTTAATCCAGCTCTATCGCCTACCTGCCTTCGCAATGGATATACTTCCTTCCTCCTCTTTACTTAAATGAAGCACCCAAACCATGGCTGCTACTAGCCACTGTTTCTCCCAGTTTATCGCACCCACTCTGATTGATAACACAAAGTACTGTCCCTCTCTTATTGGCTACGGCCATCACGAGAATAAAGACACTAATAATAAGTGGTCTCTCTGCTGCTCGGTTGTCCGCGATTACTACTTTTTGCCGTACGCTGCAAACCTACCTTAATGATAAGTGGTCCCTTCGCAGACGCTGCAAATTACAATTATCTCAAGCATGGTGCAGACCACAGGGGAGTTTGAGATTTATAACTGTAACATAATAATTATAACGATATCCAAAGTTTTTTTTAGCAGGAGTCGCAACTGCTTGTGTGTATGCATGTATATTCCTATTGCTGCTTCATTTTGCTTGCGTGTGTGTGCCTGTGTGTGTGTGTGCGTGCACCGTCATGTGTACTCGACGGTTTTTTTCTTCTTTTCAATGTGCCCATGTTTGTGTGCAGAGACAGGCCTGGGTTTGGTAGGCCATCGGTATTGTACTGGTGATATAATTCTAAAAAGGACGCTGCACCTATTCACATTTTTACAAGCAAAGATTCTATGTGGAAGTGTGAATGGCACAGTTCTTGCCCCAATGGCATATTCGAATAATTGCACAATTGGTTTACTTACTTCGAAAATGATGCCAGCTTGGATAAATATGACCGCAGGCGATAACCTACAAAATCCATATGTCACTGGAAACTCAACCCGTGTCCAATATGCTAAACAACCTGTGGTTTGTGAATTACGTAAGTATTATGTCACGATATGTTAGCAGCAGCTCTTTCAGTATGTCAAACACACACCAGTGCACACAATCGTGCTCGTATAGGTGCATGCAATGCCAAATTACGTGATTTCATGCGCCACATAATTCAGTCGCCAGATAGCAAACCGGAGGGGCATTTGTGGACATGTCGAAAGCCTTCGACAAGGTAAAGCATAGCATTCTGGTTGAGGACCTCTTTGAACTGGGTCTCAGTAGCACTGCCCAAACTCCAAGAAAACATAGGACACCAAGTGGAGACAAAGCTTCGCAGGTGTGCAAGCAATGCACGAAGGACGTGCACTTGTGTTCCAATTAGAAGATCCAAGAAAGGAGAAATAACGGTTCTAGATCTCATGTCATTTTATTTTTTATTTTTTATTAATTTTATTCAACATCTTATGGCTTCCGATGGCAGCCAAAACGGGAAGATGTGGGTGATAGCCAACCATGTTAAAAAGAAGGAGAAGATTTTATACATGAAAAGGAAACAGCCGAAAAGCTATGTTGATTAGTTTTTATCATTATTATGGTGCACTCAGTCATCATCAGGCCCTCAGATTCACTTTAAATTCTTTCAATGATGCATACGTCTTCACTGAGTCGGGTAGTTGTAGCCACACGCAACACGCAACACGAATTTTCATATCCTTCAATAATGTTGTTACTATATATGTCGCTGGGCTGGGAAACGCCGCATCTTACCAAAAACGTTCGTCATACTCTCTCCAATCACCTATGCCAGGATAAATAAAGCCATATACACTTTGTTCTGCAACTCGAAATATTGGCAAAGTTATCTATTTGGTGCAGCAGAGAGCCTGTTGCCGGAATGACGGTATCTTTAAGTGCAAGAAATACGCTGTAATGGAGTTAGGGAATTCTGAAGAAACGTTTTAAAAGAGACAAATGTTACGGAATAAAGATGAAAACAGAAACGATCAATTATTGCTTTCTGCTGTGGGAGCTATGCGGTCGGACGGTAATCGAGGAATCCGACGAGGGGCTGGGTGTCCGCTCTGCAGCCTGAAAGAGAGCCTAAGTGTTGTCCGAGCTTGGAGACTGACCGAGACCGGAGGCTGACGGCAGTGGCAGCGAGCGGAGGTACAGGCGGCTGCGCCAGAGCACGTGGCCGCTTGGAAGGTGGACATGGTAACTGTGGGTACGACCAATACAGATGGTTGTCCAGACCTGGTTCCACTTCTTGGTGGGAGGATTCTGCACTAGGACCTGGCAACCATCAGCCAAGGGTTGGAGTGGGTGAGCTGATTTGTCGTACTCGGATGCGGCTTTGTGAGCGGCAACTTCTCGATCCAGAAAGGTGGCAGCTTGGTTCCACGAAGGCTCGAATACACAACCACAAAACACATAAATACACTGCTGCATGGTATTTTTTTATAATTGTCCTGCTGACAGTCATGACATCTTATTACTTCCAATATTGTTCATATTTGATCATATTAATCTACCATACCATTATATTTTCATCATAGCCTAGGGGCTGTGGCATCATTTATGATCCACAGCAAGAAGGCAGCAATGGCTGTACCTATGGTGAAGTAAAATAAAGTTAACATAACACTTCAATGAGCCGGGATGAGTGTACGCAGCGGGTGTCCGAATAGCATCTGGGCGGGCGACACGCCCACTGCATTAGGGTGTTGCGCCACTCCAGCAAGGCGGTATTGAAGGCCTCATACTGAAGATTGCCTTGGTGCGTGTACTTCGAGACCGAGTACTTCATAGCGTGAACTGCGGACTCTGCGTGGCCGTTCGACTGTGGGAAATTTCCAGCTAAAACCAATGTCATGAAATAAATTATTTTTGAACATTATGGGCTTGTTTCACTTCTCATTCCAAACGCGATGAGAGTGGATCGTTCTAGACAGTGATCAAAACAACACATCCTGCAAAAATGGCATTCATTTGAACATGCAGACCAGTACTGCACTAGGAATCATAATCTAATCCTTTCCTCTAGTCATACACTACATCGTCCAACATGTTCAAGGTTTTCAGAAATTGAGAACACCTGTTGGTTAGGAGAAAGGGAGAACAGAAGGTGACCAGACCTGCTGAAGAAAAACAAGCGGTAAAGAGTCAAATCCTCTTAATATTTCGAAACTTGGACATTGAGCCAATAATAAATGTAGAAAGCAAAAGGACGATGGATACCAGTTAAGAGTAACTCTCCATCGCAAGCTGGGTGGTGTGCTGCTTTGAATTGTAGTTAGACCGCTTTGTCAAGTATTTTACTGATCTCGTCATCGTCCAGTAACAATCGACATTCTTTGTTCCAAGGGACTACAGCTTGTGCTCGTTTTCGTTTCGCTTACCTTCCCCTTTTTGGTCTCTCCATAACCTTGAACTTTCCGAGTTGGAAGGCTGTTGGTTAGTGCTAGAGAGATGTGTTGAAGCTAGGTGTCAGGACGTCGAATGTCTCAGTAGTATGTCAGTTTTGTGCCTATTTGTTGCACTTTCTGACAGGATAATTATAGTATCTGGTTACAGTGATGGAGAGTTACTCTTAACAGTTTTATCATTAGAGCAAGAATAATCATAGACTTTGGAATGCAATCTTCTATGCTGTATACATGTTTAACCAAGGCGTTCTCTCAAGATTGCAAATGACACTTCTTTTGATCTGTTTCAAATTGTTTTCTTCTTCTTTCAGCTTGCGTACGCAGTCATGGAGATCACATTGCTAGTATATCACCTGCTGGTATGGTTACGTGTGATTTTGGATATGAGTACCTTGATGGTCAACCAGTGTGTAATGGAACAACTAAGGTTGGATCATGTACTCGTAAGTTGTAAAGATATCATAAGATACATAGGCCTTGCCACGAAAAAAAACAGTCAAGTGCATGATGTACAGAAGTGAAGAAAGCAAACTTCAGGGTTTTAGCAATGAAACCAGGGAACTTCCGTTGACTGCGCTTAGTTCCACTGCTTATTCTGGTCTTTCAGTTAGTTTTACCGTTTATATCCACATCAAACATGGAGTGGACTTGTTTGTCACTCCTGTCTCTTTCATAATGTAGGAGTTCGTCTATCTTTCCGTGTCTCCGTCACTATAATAAATGTTGTCGTCTCCTACCCGTTCCCTGTTCCCGCCTCTATGTTCGCCTATTTCTTTGCCCTCAGTTTCCATATTTATCCCCTTCTCTTTTGTTATCATGTCTAAAATTGGGTGTAAAAAAAAGGAAAAAAGGAAAGGCTAGGCAGGCGCTTATGCCAAGGTAAAAGCTGTGATGATATTGATGATTTCAGTGGATGCAAAAAGGCATGAAGAACCAATTTCATCATTATGGAACGAATACTCGCAGACCATGGGATGCAATCTTTTAGTTTCTGTACATGTTCTTACAAGCTTGGGAATGACATGTGTTTTCATCTGTTTTCAATATGTTTTCTTCTTCTTTCAGGTTGTGGACGCAGTCTTGGAGATCATATTGCTAGTATAATTTTATCACCTGTTGGTATAGTTACGTGTGATCTTGGATATGAGTACCTTTATGATCAACCAGCGTGCATTGGAACTTGCACTAGTAAGTAGTAATGGCATCGTAAGATAAATGGGCCTTGCCACAAGGAAACTAGTCAATTGCAACAGCCTATAAAATGCTTTAACAAAAAGTCAAAGCATGTACGAGGACATAGCATCCTGGAAGTGCGGCGTATGTGCTTGTGTTCTATGTCAAACAATGTCTACTGGTAACCAATATCAGATTTATTTCTTGAAGGTTGAATACTATTTGCTAGAACAACTTGCACTTGGCCGGCAAAATTGTGGCAAGATTCAAATTTTTTTACTAAGTCCATTATGCTCCCGAATGAATGCGGAAAGTGGTGGCGGAAAGATGAGGTATCGGCTCTCGTAGTTGTTTATGCTTCCCCATAAACTTGTTACATTTTGGTGTTGACTGCACAATAAGCCTGTGGTTCATACACACACACCCACACACGCACGCATGCACGCAAGCACACACACACACACACACACACACACACACACACACATACACACATACACACATACCGTATTATCTCTAATATAAGCACATTCTCCAATAATAGCACGTCTCCAATAATAGCACGTCTCCAATAATAGCACGTCTCCAATAATAGAACACCTTGGGGCGGCATTCAAAAAATAATGTGCTCAGTCTCCATTATAAGCACACTGTGTAAATTCATTATCTGTACCGGCGAAATGCGCGTGTCTGACATGGATTTGGTATGGCAACATGCCGCTCTGAAACGAGGTTGAAATAATAATGGAACAGTCTCCAATAAAGGAACGTCTCCATTAATAGCACGGGGCGGAGGTACATTGAAAAAATAAAGGACCGTGCTTATATTAGAAATAATACGGTACACACATACACACATACACACATACACACATTGACCATTGACCATTGGACCATTGGACGCCCATCGCCAGAGGCGATGATAGCGATGCTACAGCAGAAGCCATAGCAACTTGTGCTGGGATTGCACCATTCAACAGCTTGCAAGGCTGAAGAATTGACCACCACTATTCAGCCTGGTCTACACCACACAGCTTTGAAGTGGCTTTTTTCTGGCCAGTGAATCCCTACTTTTTGGTCTTTTTTTTCTTCTTTTTTCCCGCACACACATCACACCACATACTCCGGCATGCACTGGCTGTTGGTAACCACCCAGGAGAATGAAAGAAAAGTCAGGAAGAGTCTGAGAAAGAGAAGAAAGACGTGTGTGACCATAATCGTCGGGAATCGAACCCGCAACCTATCGATTGGAAATCGCTAGGCACATACCACATACACACACACACACACACACACACACACACACACACACACACACACAAACACACAGACACACACCCACAACCCTCAGACCTCAGACCTGCCCATCGCAGAAGCAATGATAGTGAACAGCTATGTTAGACATAGCAACTTGTGCTGGGATTACACCAATCAACAGCTTACAAGGCTGATGAATTGACCGCCACTATTTTTAGCACACACACACATACACACACACACGCACACACACCAAAGACTCAAGAAAGACAAAGAGTATTGCCCGATTCCCAAGTATCGGCAAAAACACAACAAAGCAGAGAGTATTGCTCAATTCACGAATATTGCCAAAGACGCAACACCTCTTCTTCACAATGCCTGCAGATAGTTTAGATCGAAAATTGGCTAAGAGAGATGCAGACCACTAGGAACCAAATGACGAGCCTGCTTTGCCCACACAACAGCTTCCCACAGCCGAGCTCGTGATACACAGTCTCCTTCATCTGTCAGTGGAATACACCCCAAACGCATGTGTTCCTGTCTTGATGTCGTCGTTTATATATTTTCATTGTTGCCTTCTTACCTTTCCTGTAACTGTTTGTAAATGATCATGTGCAATGTGCCAACCATTATAAATGGAATCTGTGTCAATACATTTGGGCTGTGTTTACATGAGAAATTTCAACCCGGGTCGAGTTCAGCCTGGGTTGAAAGTCTGTACGATAGACAAAAGAGGTGAGCGTTTACATGAAGACAGTTGACCCGGGTCAAATACTGATATGCCGCCAAAAGTCCACTTCTACAGTCCTGTATGGTCACGTGAATCCGTTCGCGCGAAATTTGCATCTGCAGTGCCGTTCAAACCTGGCGCGAGATACGCACCGAAGTATGTTTGTACGATTTTCTTGACCCGGGTTGATTTCAACCCGGGGCGAAATTTCAACCTGGGTCAAGCGCAATGCGTCATGTAAACGCGCCATTCATTTTATGCACATGGCGGGTTGAAATCTGACCCGGGTCGAACTCAACCCGGGTTGAAACGCCTCATGTAAACACCGCCTTAGTGTGTGCTTTCTTGCCATAAGGTTGGATTCATAATTCGCAATGGGTGCCATAGGACAGGCTGAATTGCTGGTCAATATCTAAAGAACATGGGGTTTCTGGACCAAATTATCATAGTGGGTGAATGAGGTCCGCTTCGGGTTAAAAGGAGTAATCATATTCAGCGAAATCGGAAATTTTGACCATATCCGGTGATATTTGGTCATTACAGACATTGACTCTTAAACGTTTTCTTTCCTGCAATTCCTGTAACCGTATGTAAATTTGCAGCTATCATGTGTAAAGTGCCCAGCATCGTTCATGGATCCAGTACGAAAACATTTACAAAGTACGGTGAAGTACTTAACTACTCCTGCAATGATGGTCTTGTAAAATCTGCAATCCCGATTTGCGAGGCGAATGGAAATCTAAGTGCGACTCCTACTTGTGAGAGTAAGTAGAAACAGCCTTATTGTGCTTACATTCCTACATATTAATTATTCTTATTCCCATAGCTATGCAAAATACGTTACTTCAGTTACTTCATTAACGTCTGGCGCTACCCAGGGTCCTCACATCTTCAATTCTTGTAGCTATGCAAACTACGTTACGTTAGTTTGTTGTTTGTTTGTTTGCTTAGCTTTATTTGTATATATTATTATTTTGCTTTAGGAGCTGCATCTGCGCCTTGATCCTTGAAGGGTGGTGGTCTTCCTACGGATGCGGAAAATTCGACCTCTATATAGAGAAACCGAGTCTCACGCGAACGTTTTTTTTTTTACTTCACCAGAAACACATGCAAAATCTGCCTTCTCACTGGGCGTATTGCCACAGTTCTCGCAAAATGATAATGGTGGTGATATAAGAAAAGGAGGAAGAGGAAAATACAATCAAGAACAAGGCACATAGAGAAGACAGAAACAAATCAATAACGGAGTACTACAAGTAACCAATTGGAATTTGATGTATTCTTTATGAAAATAATGCAACAGATCCAAAGGTTCCAGGGTTGAGGGAATGCTGACAGTTATGCGTCTTTCAGACCTTAGGAGAGGGTAAGAGAGTTTAAGATATCGTTTGTAATTGCTTTCTTAAATGCAGAAGGAATTGTGATGGAGTGGACATTAGGCGGCAGGCAGTTCCAGTGCACACTACCAATGAACTGATCGGTGGATGGACCGGAAGGACCCGGCGAAAACGGGACACAAAGCAGACGTGAAGCCTGACCACGCGTGGCACGACAGTTGACCAAATCAAAGAAAGTGCTGAAAAGACTACTGATCCTTTCAGCCCCAAGACATCTGTGAACAAAAAATAATAGTTTTTGTTGATATATCTGAGTAAGAGTAAGAGTAAGACGTCAGTAAAGTCTGGCACTAGCCAGGGTCCACACAGCTTCAATTCCGTGTTTGTTTGTGCCATCGGCATGCCTGGCGCTACCCCGTACCTGTCCCCGTACCGCACCATACCGTACCATCAAAGGCAGCTGCCCAGAATATTCAAATAGGGTATTCAAATGCATGGCGAAAGAGTCAACCAAGTTGAACATGGCTCGTTCACACCGCTGGTCTTCTCCTCTTGTGCCGGAATGAGTCCAGAGGCAAACATTGTCGTCAAGCGGATTGCTGCTGCTCTGGCTTCTAAGTGTAAGGAGAGCTACAGCAAAGTCGTTTGCTGGATGGGTTGCTGCTTGGCTTTCTCTCTTGCTACGTCTGCAATCCGGTGCGTTTGAGGATCACGCTCCGTTCGCCGCCGTCAAGTCAACCTTGTGCCTGTCGACCTCGTCCAGGCTGAGGCTCGCCTTGCTAGGCATTAGACTGTCTTCACAGCCATTTTAGCTCCCTCCTTATTAAATTGTTTTTGTAGCTTCCTCCGTATAAGACTGTTTCACAGCCATTTCAGCTCATTTTCTATCGGTACTATGCTGTTGACCCAGCACTTGTGTTTATGTTGCCCGGACTACAAGAGGTTTGGAACTGGTAAAAAAATTCAAATTCAAGATCATAACGTAAAGCAACTTGGAAGAATATGTGTGTATGCAAAGTGTATCGGGGAAGGCATGCAGGGCGACAGTGCGGGTTAAAATACCAGGTTGTGTTGAAAATAAAATAGGAGATTTTGAAAGAAGTACATGAACAGTCAACTTCGCTTATAACGGCACTCAGCGGGGCATCAAAAAGGTGTCCTTGTTCGCGAAGTGTCGTTATACCCGAAGTCTCGTTATATGTATTACAGTGGGATGGTACTTTGCTCTGGGCATGGAAATTCTGTCGTTATTCGCGAATTGTCGTTATATCCGCAGTCGTTATTAGCGAAGTTGACTGTACAGGAAAACCTGTGACTACCGTCCACCCCTTGGTGCCAGCAAAAGCGGTCTTTAGAAACAGGTGGTCTTTAGTTAGAGGTTTGCATTGCGTGACCATATATGGATCCCATTCCCATTCCCATTCCCATTCCCGTTGGGGCCTGATTGGAAATTTTTATTTCCATTGCTATCAGGTTCGGCCTAATTTCCCCTGTGCTGCGCTGACGAGTCCACAAAGGACGAAACAGTTCTGTCCGCAGATTGAGTACGGATCCCATTATGATATGTATGTCAAAACACAGCCAATACAATTCCCCAGGACTTGCGCAATACCATTCTTATTTTAGGTCAAACAACACTTGGAGAGAAAGACGGAGAGATGGAGAGAGACAGAGAGAGGGAGAAAAGATTAATTTTTTGCAGACATCAAATTCAGCTGCTACTTCTGAAGCCAGAAGTCAAACGTTCCCTATGGAAGTTTCGTTTTGCGCTGGGCTTCAAATTTGTTCATTCGATCAATCGTACCCACTGTTCTTGTTGTGCGAACTTCTCGATTGCTTGAACGCGATCCGTCAGCATAAGGACCTTGCGGTGCTGCTTTGTTCATGGATTCCTTGATGCAATCGTCGATTCGTCTGTATGACTGGGGTGACAAAGCCGCTCAGTCTTCGTTTCTCCTCCGAGACATATAGTAACATCGATCAGAGAGCGCTTCCGATGCGCTCTCCAAGACGTTTCCTATCACGTTTATTCTTGACAGGGCTTGAAATTATTGTGACAGGCGTAGTGCAGTCCACACCGACTCGAACTCCACAGTCAAAATGATCTGCGTTCATTTGTTCAGCTGTAGTATCGAAAGATTCCTTTCAGGACCATGGAAAATCAGCAAAATTTCAAGAAGGAGCTTCGAGCAACATTTGATTTCGTACATCGCGGTCACTAGTTACGGGCCAAAGTCGTCTTTGGGACAAGAAAAGGCGGTCGCTGGTCGCGTTCAGCAGGTAGTCGCTAGTCACAGTGCATTTTGAATGTGAGACCGTCCGTGCCTGGTGAAGTGGTCGGTAGTACCAGGCTAGTTGCTAGTCACGGTGGTCTTTAGTTACAGGTTTTACTGTATAACATCCCTAATCCCTATAGAGTAAGTGGAAACAGCCTTTTTATTGTGCTTATATTCACCTACTTATTAACTATTAACTTAGAAGTTGCGACTTCGGTGGTAATAGTCGTGAAGTTGATTGTTCCAACTAGGAACACACGCTTCTTGCCGAACTTGACACTTGACTGATTCACGACTGCCATCCAAGATTCAAGTTGGAATAATCAACTTTATTATAAATTATTATTATTACTATTCCCGTAGTTATGAAAAAGAGTCCGGTATAGGCCATTCACATGACGGGCAAACTTACTTTTATCGTACTGTTTCCAAGGATATTTACTCGGATACGATAAACTTGGACACACGCAAGCAACTGATTTTTTATCTTGGCCGAGATCCTTTTGCTCGCGATTATCTTTGCACGCCAGGAAAAGTGTCGGTTGTTGAAAGTGTGTACTGCAAATGCAGTGCTTGAACAAGGGAAAATTCAAAATTGAACATTTCCCGGCATTTTTAGGAGGTCACTATGGATACATTGACGGTTGCAAAGTTTGCCCAGCACCGTGTGAACTGGATCACAGTTTGCCAGTGTTATCTTGGTCACACGCGTGCAAATGTTTGCACGTCGTGTGAATGGCCTATTAGTGAAAAAATAAATAAAAATTTAAAAAGCCCTACGCTTTTTTTGGCTATGTCATCAAGGTGGTAGATGGTGTCGTATTACTCTCGAATGCATAGAGAAAGTCTATTTATGTCGCTCAGGGCCCTACTAGGCACCGGCGATTTTTCCGGCAAAATTATTTGCATAATTTGGTGGTTGAAAATTTGGAGCATAGTTTGGCATACTTTCGGAGGTAGGAGCATAACTACATCGAATTGTAAATTGTACCACATTTCTAGTATGTAGGCTACACAATTGTGTACAATGCACGTGATCAGCGCTGGTGATCTGCATGGTAAAGGGTTCGGAGGTCATGCAGATACATGTAGTGTTTTCGATGAAAAACAAGGTAAAAATCATGGCAACACATTATTGTATGCTCGAACTCGTCTTCTTCAAAGTTCTATCTAACAATTATAATTATAGTACATGTAGCAGAAGATGCGACTGAATCAGCCTTTAGCAGGTATCCCTGGTTGGAGGAGAAAGTGACGGGCGGTCCGCAAAACTCCGCATACATGTTCATTGCATTGTGCATGTTACGAAGTCATGATCTCTGGATTTTAGCAGCCATGACAACGCAGGCTGTGGATATTGCTCTAATATAGTAATAAAAATATATATGTTGTACTCAGTGAGCATCCAGGCCCTATTATGATGTCCAACCCCTATATAGAGTCCATTCGTCCAAAATCCACTGTACAGAGTCCAAACTTGGAATCAACTGGGAGCTCAAAGCTTAGATGGACATCATCACTCCCTGTATAGGGTCCAGTCAATTAGCTTCACCCATATGTGGAGTCCATTGGGCGAAAAGCCCCTGTACAGAGTCCAAACTTTGAAATCAACTATACAGAGCCTTTTGTGGACAACACTCCCTGTATAGGTCCAGCCAATTCGGCATCCCCTATCCATCGTTCAAAATTAGACATAGGATCTGCTGTGAGCAGTGAATATTAGCCACATAACTGCCTCTCTCTTTTAAAATTCTTTATATCATTCACTTCTCAAGAGAAAAATAAGACTTATACTTAGTATTGAGGCTCCACTGCAGCCACTTCGTTACATGAAAAACCCTACAAACACCATCCTCAAATCAAGTGGTGGATTACCTCCGATCGGCGCAGGAGATCCAGTCCCAGTGCGGAATCCTCACCTGATTTCAAAAATTCAAAAAAAAAAGAGCAGCAGTATCGACCCTGGCCTCAACCAACCCCATACCCCAGCACAGGGCTCACGCTTCAGCCCACTGGCGTCACAGGGTATACAGGGTATACCGTAACGTTGTTCTCCACACAATATACCCGTGTTCATAAATATTTTTGTAAACATTCACGTTCTTCCTGTTTTCTCCTCCTCACCCTTGTCTTCTTATACCCTTAATATAA